TAAAAATTTGATTCAAGTGAATATACCTTATACAGTTATACTGTAGTTAATTAGTTTTACTTAAAAGTACTTAAACTTATGACGAGCAGAGCGGAACACTACATGATCCATATTACTCGCTGATAATCTACCTACTACACTTAACTATAAATACTTATTAACTATTAAGTTATAAAGTTATAACTAACAATAAACTACTCATTCGAAAGTTACCAAAAAAAAAACAAGTAGGTAATTAGTTTAAATTTGTACTTAGTACATACCTACATATTAATGTATTATTATTTATTCACTTTATATAAATTAAATAATTTTTGTTTAAAATATTATTTGTAAGCGCTTTCATTAAATATTAAAATGTTGACTAGAAAAAAAACATTTTATTATAATTATTATGTTGAAATTATTATAATCACTAAACAGTAATTATTAATCAATAAATCATATTCTAGTTATATATACGCTATTCCATTATTCCTATTGACGTTTGCCTATTGGTGATAAAAATGTATTATGCATTTGAAAGCGTTTCAATTTATATTAATTATTCTGAAATATTATATTATGTATTATACCAATATATGTTGACAACATTAACCATTTGGTGTGACCAATTACATGAATGGTCATATTAATAAATTTGTGCTTTGACCGGGATTTAATGTAAACATTATAATTTTTGTCATTTGCCATAACATTCTACCTATCCAAATAATGAAAGTTTTAAATATCGAACAAAATTTAAGATTTTTAAAGGCATTTCAAATTGTTTAGTTTTCATTTTTACCATAAAATATAACTGTTTTTAAGTATCTTTGAAAAAAAAAAATAGATTGAAATTATAACACAAGGTTTCTTATAAGTACCTATTTTTCTTACCGAAAATTAAAAATATTTTTATAATAATATTATAATATTATTATACTTTATGTAGGTATGGAAAATGATGAGATATACATTTGGGGAAAAATCCAAGTATCCATAAGACTATAAGGCTATTCATTTATGTATTAACACAAAATAGTAAAAATCGATTGAGAAGAAATAGTTAGTTAATAATTTACGGGAATACCAATGATGAAAAAATCTGAACTTCATACGCTCATAAAAAATGAATGTGACTTTCCGGTGAACTTTTTTTTTTGTTACAAGTAAAAAAGCTTATGAAAAATCTTGTTTTTAATTTTTAAATGTTACTTACCTATGAAAAGAGAAATGTTTACTTGTAAAAACACAAAACCATATAATATTGTAAAACCAATATACAAGCCTGGCAAGTTAATCACTTTTTTCAACCATTGATATTTGAAAGTTAAGTTACTTTAAAATAAAAAGTAACAAAATTAGAATATATAAGTTTATTTCTGAAATTTACCAAATTTCTAACTTGGTTAGTTAAAATGTTAGTTTTTTTTTTTTTAGTTTAAAATATAAATTTATAAAAACGGTTTTAGATTCTGAGCTGAGCGATGAATGTATTGGTTTTACAATGATGTATGTTTTTTTTATATTTTTATTTATATTTTTGTGTCTGTCATCACGTTTTAGGACAGTAAAAGTGCTTGGATTTTCTTCATCAGTAGCTTTTCTGGTAGGAAAGTGAATCTAGTTGATACTTTGGGTTGTCAAAAGTATGAATTTCCCAGTAGTTTTCACAAGCGCCGGGAAAAACAACATACAAATTAAGGAAAAACGGGAATTTTTACGCAAAATTGGTTTTCCAAAAAATCGATTTGGTTATTGGTGTATACATGAAATTTTCACTGGTTGTTTATATTTGCATTTTCTATACACGATAACATTTTCAAAATATTTTGATTTATTTTGAACTGTTTAGGGACATTTTCATTTTCCATTTTTTTTTTAGTTTTTTTTCTAAAAATATCAATAAAATTTTATTTATTGGTTGCGAAAGCTTGAAAATTTAATAGAAGGCTCCTAATATGTTGTTTCAAAGGCAGATGAAAAATATTAAAAATCCTTAGTCACAATTTTTTTTTATAAGCATTTAAAGTTCAAAAATTGACAAAATATGGAAAAATCACGAAAATTAGCAAATTATTTTGAGTTAAGAATTCGTAAAAATTTTTCTTTTTAAATCTAAGATTTGAAAATGAAACACAAGATTCCTTATAAGATTATCTACCTTTATCAATAAAAAAATCTCTACCGGACAGTCAAGTTAAATTTTTATGAGCGTTTGAAATTCAAATTTTTACAACATTGGATATTCACTCGATTACTCATGTAGCGATTTCTTTATTTTGTTGCAATTCAAAAACGAACAACTGTAGATACATGAAAATTTCACTGAATGTTTAAATTAGCATTTTCTATACACCATACAATTTTGAAAATATTTTGACTCTTTTTGAGCTGTTTATGGACATTTACAGCTTTCAATTTTTTTAGTTTTTTTTTCTATAAATATCAATAAAGTTTTATCTGTTGGGCCAAAAAGTGTAAACATTTAATACAAGGCTCCTGATATATTGTTACAATATCAGTTGAAAAATATTAAAAATACATATACACGATTTTTTTTTATAAGCATTTAAAGTTGGAATTTTAACAACATTTATCAAAATATCGAAAATTATCAATCGTTGGAATTAAAAAATTATAAAATGTTCAGTTTTTATAACTAAGAGTTGAAAATTTAAAACAAAGATTCTCTTAAATAATTCATACTGTAACCAAAAAATCTAAAAAATATATAAACACACTTATTTTTTACAGACATATTAATTTCAAATTTAGACAAAATTTCATATTATACCAAGACAGGGGCGTATTTATGGGGGTGGCTGGGTGGGCTGCAGCCCCCCCTGAAATTTCAAGAAAATCCAAAAAATATGAATGTCAATAAAACTTTATTTGTTGGGTAAAAAAGCTTGAAAATTTAATACAAGGCTCCTATTTTATTTTTACAATAGCAGTTGAAAAATATTAAAAATCCTATGCTATGTCCTAACTGAATCCGTGCGTTGCGTGTGTTGCGGGCGATGCGTGCATGCAAATAAAACCAACTGCTACAAAGTACGGACATGTCCTAACTGGTCGTACATGCGTGCGATGCGTTTTAACGCACCGCACAAAATAGAGCATGTTCTATTTTCCAACGCAACGTCTAAACGCAACGCACGGATTCAGTTAGGTCATAGTTTTTTTATAAGCATTTAAAGTCCGAATCTTGACAAAATACGGAAAAATCACAAAACTTAAAATTTTGCTGAATGTTTTCATTTTTTATACACCAAAAAAATTTGAAAATATTTTGCCTCTTTTTGAGCTATTTACTGACATTGACAGTTTTCATTTTTCTTAGTTTTTTTTCTGTAAATATCAATAAAATTTTTTTTGTTGGGTAAAAAAGCGTGAAAATTTAACTCAAGGCTCCTGATATATTGTAACAATATTAGTTGAAAAATATTAAAAATACATAGGCACAATTTTTTCTTATAATTATAGGTTCAAATTTTGACAAAATTTATCAAATTTAAAATGTAATAAATATTTTGTAATTAAAAATTTATAAAATGTTCAACTTTCATAGTTAAGGATTGAAAATTTAAAACAATGGTCCACGTAAATAGGTATATATATAAATTACTTTATTCACAATAATATCATAGGCTGACTGACCGTTTTCGCTTAGAATTTACTTAGAGTTTTCTTATACAATGATATTATATCATTGAATTCAAATTTTACACCATCCATTACGGCATTACAGTACCTACTGTACAGCAGAGCGACATCCACTTACCCACTTTTTTGTTTTATTGTGTGACTATGTTGATCATTTTGTTCAGCCCCACCCGAAATAAAATTCTGGATACGCGCCTGTACCAAGAGTTACGATTTTAGTTATTTTGTTGTGATTGAATAATATTATTCGTGGGTACTTGAAACTTCTAAAATGTACTATTATATATCTATGATAGTATCACGGTTTTTGTTGATGTATAACGCGTTATAAGTATCTAATGGATATTGTGATATGATTAGTTTGGAATTTATTATAAGTACCTATTATAGGTCAATATTTTGTTTAATACCATAGATATGTATATAATATGTCTTATACATAGACTGACATACCGTCACCGCTCAGAATCGTTTTTCTTATACAATGATATTATATCATTGCATTCAAATTTAATACCATCCATTATACAGTGACTCACTTGTAACCTACAGTACAGCAGAGCGACATCCACTTACCCACCTTTTTCAAATGTAATGTAAGTATTACATAAATTAATTATTAAGTAGGTAGGTAGGTAACTAACTTAAATGAATATTAAATTGAACAACTGTCAACTGAGAATTTGATCAAATGTTTCAAATAGGTAGGTAATAGCCTCAACTCTTTGGAATATCAGTCGTCACTTATTAGGATATAGAAAGTTTAACAAAATGATAAATACAAAAATTCAATAAATCTTAAAAAACTAAAATGATAACTAGTTATTTATTATTTTTAACGAGTTAGATTAGATTAATTTACGAATAAAATTCAACTAGCGTTAAGTTATAAAGTTAATATGAAAATAAAAAAATAACTTTTTAAGTAACTTCCTAACTTGATTTTAACTTTCAATTGAGTAGGTCACGACATTGTTCCATGGTTATAAATAGGAGTAGACTATAATGATGAGATTTAAATCGAAGTCTGCGGATAATTAAACAGAGGGCGACATCTATTCGTTCGCTTTGCAATTACCGTACGGTACAGCTACATTATTTTATTTTACTTCGAATGGTCACACTGAACGATTCATATCAACTTTTCAGGTTATCATTTAAAAATGTTTAAATGTCATATTCATTGTGTTGTTGTATTATCCAAAATTGCAAGTAACCGTGCTCACTGCTGCTGCTGCTGTACGTCATTTGAATTTTGAAAGAAATTGTAATAATATTCTTATTTTGCCTTGACGATCGTCGCAGACTATTATTTCCGTCAACCGTCTCAAAACATAACAGACATGGTAAGTTAATTTTATTTATCAGAATTAATTCATTGTTATTACGATGTTGTAGTGTATACAATCTATTGTTTGATTATTGTTTTTAGGATACCATGGACAATACTTTCGGTAACTATTCCATCTTGGGGTAAGTCATATTATAAATTATAGTATTGAAAAATGTTTACTAGTACATTTTGTGTTAATTAAACTCTTACATAATTTTAGGGCTCACACTGCCAGGCCAAAGAATTTCAAAGAAACTTATCATCCAGTCCAACAAAACTTGAGAAATGTAAGTACACACGGAGTTTTTTTTATTTAAACTAATCAAACAAACTTTTGTTTATTACATCTTAAAAGTAATGCTGTTTTCTACTTTATAAAACCTCTGTTCTTCTACCCAACCCACACAACACCCTGCCATAGTAGAAATAGTAGAAACGGTCTTTGTGGCAGAATGTCGAGTGAGGATGCTCAGAATCTGGGTGTTTTCTCGCCGGACAAAGTATTGTATGAGTCGTTGATATATATAAACAGTGTAAAAAAATTGGTACTTTCCTGTTACATGAGACTACCTTGTTTTTTGTTAACATCACAATTCTGTTATCTAAGACCACCAAAATGGTACTGTCCTGTTAGACGAGACTATGGCTATTATCGTGACTACTACCCAAGACTACCTCCGTTAAAGCTAATACCACAATAGCAGAACGATATTATATTTTTTTTTTATACAGTTCTAATGTGGCCATTCCCATTATTATTTTTTATTTTATTTATGGATTTACCATTTTTGTTCATGTTCGTGTTCGGCGACAACAATGATAATATTATTCGTTGTATTACTATTATTTTATTGTTTTCAGTGGCTGGCCGTACGCAGAGTGTAAACTGTAAAATATATTACAAATGATTACTGGGTATTAAAATCTTTTCTTTATTTCATTTTTTTATTTATATAATAAATTTGAGTATGGCCATCTCCACAATACTTACATATTAAAAAAAAAAAAAATAAAAGAATTAACTATGATGAATTAAAGTAAGGTAGTCTGTGGCTATAGGAATGTGTGCACATTTTGGTAGTCTTAAATAACAGGATTGTGATGTTTTACAAAACAATTGTGGTAATTGTGATAATAGATACAGTCTCGTATAACAGGAAAGTACCACAAAATTCTATTTTATGTATAGGTATGATACAATATTAGTAATGGTTAGGTACTGATAAATAATATACTAATACTCTGATAAGGGACATGACCAGTGCCTCAACTACCGCGTGTGCAAGGTATGCATTGCACATCGGCCCCCAAGGCCCCAATCCGATATAGGCCCTCAAATCAATGTGTTAAAATTAATTGTATAGCCGTAGCTGAAGAAAATTAAATTAAGGTTAAAAATAACAAATGTGTTCATATTATTAAATATTTATTTATTTATCAAATTAAACTCAAATGATTATAAAAATTGTTGCACAATTATATAAGTCAAGATTGTCTCAGTGACATTTCCATACTGAACATAGAATGGAGAAGAACTTCTGAGATAAATGTAGAGAGAGTCATTTGCAACTTTTCAAAAGCAAAAGCGAAGAAAAAACAATTTTGTTAGATAGTTTAAAAATGTGTTAAAATTAAACTATAATACTATTTTTATAACAATAAATTATACAATTAAATATTTTTGTTAAGATAGCTTAATATAATAATTTATTTACAATTTGTATATTTAAGCCCCAAGTTAAGATGTGCACATCAGTCCCATAGTGTGTAGTTGAGGCACTGGACATAATTGATACCTGTCAGGAACAAATTATGTTCGGGGAGGGGGAGGGAGTGTCAAGTCTATTATGTGTAAAAAACCTAGGTTACGTATTAAAACAGTGGCTTTTAAAAAATATCAAGAACTATAGTGCAATCAGAATTAATTGGTTTGATTTAATCTCAAATCTCAATATTTTATTCATTTTAAGTTCAATAAGTTATTTGTGTTATTACTAGGTATGGCTAAATAAGTATCTTGAATGTATTTTCAACACAACTTAGTATGCTATGCACTATACATTTTTCTTAGAATATTAATAAATTAAAATCAATGCGCCTCCTATCTGCTACTGTATTTTCATTAAAAGTATTGTATTTGTATTTATATCATTAGTATGACTAACAGAGATTATTTTTTTGTGTTACAGTACAAAGCAAAAGAAAATAGGACTCTAGTTAAAGGCTTGATGATCACACAAGGAATGCACATGCCCCTACGTTTAGCTATGGAACAAAAAGTGTTTGAAAGTGTTGGACGTCTACCAATTTTGAAGTCATCTAATTTGCACGCTGAAGTATTGAATGACACTCTTGACACAGTCACTGAACGGGATTACTTGAACCCAGCAGAGTACAATGAAACATTAGTTCCATCATTTGTAGTTATGGATAAAGATTTAAAATTTTAATTTACGAGTTCATATTTATAAACATAACAAAATGTTTTAAGACATTGTCAATAATACTTTTTCTATTATTAAATGTTTTTCAAGCAGTTAAAATCATTTGGGTATTGTGTAAATAATAAATAAACATAAATTATAATTAATACAATATTACACTCAACATTTTGTATGGTTTGTAAGTATTCTTCCTGGCGGAAATGAATATCTTGTAATAGTTTAACTACTTTTCAGGAGAGAAATAAAATTGTTCATAATACATTCTTAACCTTAGTGTTGGGGGCGTGTTACTCCTAAAAAATTCGCTTAGCTCTTGCTTTTAAGTATTTTTGTTGGTAAATGTTGTTTGTCCCAAAGCATACTAAAATATTATTATATTATATTAATATAAGTTTTCAGTTATCTCTTTATATATAATAAGCTATATACATATAAGCCATGTTCCTTAGCCCCTCTAGAATTTTACCAATTAATAAATTAGTTAATACTTGTAATTAATTAAAATTATTTAAAAAACATTTCATCTTATGAATTTACAAGATAGGATAATATTAGAACCAAACATACTTTTAAATTTGAGGAACTTAATATGAATTTTTTAATTTAAAACTACATAATAATATGACAATTGTATATAGAACAGTGGTTTTGAACCTTTTGTTTATAAACACGGTACACTGATCTCTTCATAAAATGTTCACGACACATGTCTTAGCCAAGAATGAATTTTTCTACAATGAAGACTTTTATTATTTAGTTTTACACCTAATTAGATGAAGAATAATTGTTCTTTATTAAACATCCATATTTTATAATATTTTTGTTAATTATAATTTTAAAAATAAAACTCAAAAGCTCTTGGCATACCTGGGGAATGCTTGTGGCACAACGGTTTAAAACCATATTGGTATAGATGATAAAAGTATATCTATTTTATCCAAAAATGCTGAAAGTGATATTTTGTCCTCTCCCATCTTACTACAGTATAATATATTATGTGTATTCAATATTGTTTGAAGTTTAAATAGCTGATCTATTTATTTATTGTTTGAAGTTTAAATAGCTGATCCATTTATTTATTGTTTTATGTTTATGCATAGCGTAACCAAATTTATTGTATAATTAAGGTATAATTTATGCATCATCATTGATATATTTTAACTTTGAAAGAGATATTGAATTATTTAATTGATAGGTACTTAGGTAACTTTCAACAACAGTTTTATATTGAAGAGCTCTGTCACCTATATAATTTGTTTAATAATAATATAGGAAAATCTATTGACATCGCAGAACCAAGAAGAAATTAAATCATTGTCTTTATTCAGTTTGTACTTGAAAAACAAATTATTTCAGATAGTAAATAATATTTTATTAATAGATAAATAAAAAAATTGCAATTATGCGCTCGCGAATAAAAATTACTGCATTACTTCTTTAGTGATTACTTACCTACATTTTTATTTTAGCCTACACCAATTTGCTGATGGTTATTGAGTATTTGATTAATTCATTATCAAAATACATACATATAAAATACATCATGTCTCATCAAATTTAGTTGTGCTAACCAACAGTTTGTACTAATCGATATCTTATATAATACTTTAGATGCATTTTTAATACAACTACTACATTTTAATATTTTTAAATAGTTTTATATTTTTTTAATCAACTCAAATTATTCTTTTTTATGATAATGATTTAAAATGTATTATTATTTATTGTTTTAAAAATAAGACTGTAAACGAAAAAAGAACGTAACTATATAATGTATAAATGACAATGTAATGTACATTGTACAGTAGTAGCATGTAGTAGACTATTCGTATTATTTTTGTAAGTGAATAAGTAAAAAAAAATTAACCTACGCACTGAACGCTCAGAGTAAATAAGTGTCCATAGACAGTGTTTGAACCCCCTAACCCCCCCCCCCCTCCTTGAGACCACCCATGGTAGTAGTTGCATAGAGAGCTGGTATTAATGTAAAAGTATAAATTATTTGTAAGTGAGATTATAAAAGCAGTGTTGGTAAAAAAAAGCTCTATAATTAGCAGATGATAAAAGATTATATAATAATATGAAATATTTATAATTTAAGATTAATTAACTTCAATATATTATTATACACATTTAGGTAGGTACCTACTTATTGAATTTGTCAATAGGTAGGTATGTACTAAAGGATTAAAACGATGAACATTGACGTGTCAATAAATACAAAATCTGACTAAGGAAAATGAATCATAGGTACCTACTTGATAAGTAAAATTCAATCAATATATCTATACAATTTTTTACCCAATACTTAATTTCTATAAACATCAATCGACAAAAAGTATGATGTCAAATTAAATTAAAGTTATTTAGTCAAAATAGATAACAATATGTCGTACCTATTTATGATATTCAGCGCTACAAAATGTAAAGTAAAGTCTAGTTTCAGTAAATAGGTATAATATAATCACATGCTCATAATAATAAAAATATTTTGTATGGAATGTATGGTCTACTTATATAATAGGTACTTACATTGTAATATTATATAAGTTTTGAAATCATATCCTAAGCTATTTCAATTCAAATGCAATCATTGATTTAGGTTTTGTTGGTTTTAAATATAACTAGCTTAATTAATTTACTTCTGAAATCTTTTATCGGTACTCGCTATCTATTTATTTTTTTTTTGGGGGGGGGGGGGATCCAGTTTGGACCAATTTGATTTAAAACGAATTTTCCACAGGCTTATAGGACTGACACAAAATGTTGGCACTTGGCATGGTTTTTCAAAAAATGCATATCAAAAATATTTCCGAATCTCGTCAATTTGGTATATTCTACAGTTATGGGTAGGTACCTACCTATTATTAGGTGTGTATTATTTATGTGGACATTTATATTTTTGGATTTTTCTGTAAAAGTTATAATATTTACCATAATTTTATATTTTTATGGACTTGGATACCTACTTATGAGTTATGAATACCTACTTCATCCTCACTTAGATTCGCCTATAAAAGTGAAAAAGTAGGTATTTGTCAAATGTGGAGAAATTTTAACCGTGGTGGAAGGCGCCGTCTCAATATGGTAGTCGGTAGGTATATAATTTAATCATAAATAGTCATTTTTATTTATCTGTTGATATTTTATCAATTATTGGTCCAAACGTATATCTTTATTTCTCAAAATAGTTAAAAAGTTAAGTTCAAGTACACAATTATTACGTATTTTATTATCATTAGTCTAAAAATGTGATTTGCATAATATAAGTAGCATATTTCATTAGTTTTGTCCAAATAATATAGTTACCTGTCCACTACCCAGTACCCACCTACTAGTTATTGAACCTACCTATACTGTTACATGCTTATATGATACATATTTCAATTCGATCAACATTTTTTAGATATTTTATTAACATGATTAGCATATAATATGTATGTATTTACACGTACCTACCTACCAATTGGTCCGATAAAATATTTAGGTACCTGTATCTTTTGCGCATTTATGCGTTTACCGTGTTGGTATGATATCTAAAATACCTGCCTATAGGTTTTGAACTTTATTAATCTATCCGTTCCGAAATACTTCAGTCGTAGTAGGTGTACCTACCAAATAAAATATCCACTTAGTTAGAATAATAACTACCTACTTAGCTAATATTTTTTTTCACAAATACTATTGGCTACAATAGTTACAACCATTTCTAATTGCGCGAGAGACAGCAATTATACTTACCTAAACCTAATATTACAATTAACTGTTTACATAAAATTATTGGCTATTTAAGTATACAGAAATTACCAGTTACCACCGTATAATATAATAATTTAATGAGAAATCCAATAGTCAACGTAGGTAGTCGAAACTCTCCGATGAATAATTCTGTGGACCAGTGAAGAACTTGCAGCGTACAGCTACCTACCTGTTGCATCGCATCGTTATTATCCGTTAATTGACGACCTTGCGTTTGACTTGAGGTAGGTACAACTTTTACCTTTTCCCAGGTATGTAACTAATAACTAATTATGTTGCTTTTGATATTCATTTTAAATTTAACAAATAGTTACAACTGTCGGACAGCATCCGATGATATAGGCGGTATTGGATGTGCTGCACGCCCTTGTGAAGTATAAATTTTGGAAAGTCGAGCAGAATCGAATAATATAGGTACCTACGATGGCTGGACTTGAGAATCAAGTAGCATTGATCACCGCAGCTACGTCAAAAATTGGATACGGGTATGCCAAACATCTGCTCCAGAAAGGCGTCAAGGTATGCAAATAGGTAACAATATAATAATATGACTACCGAACGATTGAGAACGTTATACATTTTTGGCCGAACGATTGAGAACGCTTAAAAATAACAAAGAACTTGCCGCTGACCCAAAAAAAACCCAAAAAAGAATACGTTTGAGATTGAATTTACGTTGCCATATCATAACTTGTTTGGCTAGGTATTGAAAAATGCATGTCCGTATGCATAAAATAAATATTCTTGAAAAAGTCATCAATTAATAATTGTTAAAACAATTAAAATATTCATACTAAGGATAATAATCCTTAAATGTGGTTTTACAAAAATATAAACTACCTAGGTATAGTATTCGTTATACTTCAATCACTTTTACAAATTATTTATATTGATAGATCATTAATAATTAGGTACCTACTAACATTTTTATATCATCTAAGACCCCAAATCTACTTAACCTATTGCCCTATGTCCTATGGCAATGGCCTTAGACTGTAACTATCGTAGCCGGTGGCGTAATTTGGAATTGGTTCTGGGGTAGGATATAAACTTATATTATCGTTCTAGTGGGGGGCTAGGCGTGGCGATTACCCCCCCCCCCTCCCCCATGGGCTTTTTTTTAATATACAACAGATTTCTATTGACTAATATGTACATATTGAAATCCTATGATACCAATTCGGTCCCTTTTTAAATGAGCTTCAGATCCGCTACTGTCTTGTCATATATTGTAATAATTATTGTTGAGCTATCGTAGTTGTATAATTACTATAGTAAAATAAAAAAAATCTCAACTGTGATAATATAATGCCTAGGCAAGTTAATGATAATTTTTAACTAAATTAAGTTAAGTTGATAGAAAACATTTCAAAAAGTTTAAAGTTAACAGTTAATATAGGTAATTTTTTTTTTTAACTCAGTTAAGTTTAAAGTTATATGAACATTTTCAATTAACTTATTAACTTAACTCTTAAGTTAAGTTAAGTTTTTTTTTTTAACATCTATATAAATAGGTAGGTACCCACCCAGTAATATGGTTTAAAATAATAAAAATCATAAATATTATTGAACACAGGAAATAGCCAATAGCTTTTCTATACATAGAATTAAATTATTAGGTACCTGGTACTGAATTAATAGAATTATGTAGTAGGTACCAAAAGCATTATAGAGAAAATCTAAAGTTATTCTAGAAAAAATAGCCTGTGGAGGGGGGATATATCCCCATACCCCTCCCATCATAATTTTGCCGCTGAATTCGTAGCTATTTTCAGTATTGTTTCTGCTTGAGTTTCAGTTAGAATTTTAATAACAATAATTATTAACAATTAACATAATATTATATTGCTAATTCAATATCAACAAAAATTATCGTGCTCATATTATCATTCGATTAAATTTGGCAACGTTGAAAAAAAATAAAATATCGAGCGTTTTCAATCGTGTTACCAAAAATGGCCGTTCTCAATCGTATTTTACCGAATAATATGTTACACCAATTACCGGGTAGGTAGTAGGTGATTTTTTTAACAGTAAATACCCATTGTGTATCGAACAGCGTAAACGTTATTTAAATATATTTTATCTAGGAATATAGTGCACGCAGCGTATAAAGATTTTTATTTTAAAATTAGGTACCTACACCTCAGTTTCATACTTGGCCAAACATTGGTTTTTTCTGGGGAGGGGCATTCATTTTTAGTTTTTGTAGAACTAGAATACTTGTCACTTGCAGTTACTTTATGGCATCATTGTTCATAAAAAAAACAATTTCGGTGAGAGGGGTGGGGGGGTTTACCTATAGTGACCCCCCCCTGGCTACGGCACGGACTCGCCTAATTTAGTTAAAATAATAATTAGAACGTTGCTAATCACCGATAACACATTTTTGTGAACACAGGTGGCGTTATGCGATGTAAATTTGGAAGACTGTCAATCGGTCGCCAAAGAATTCGATAATGCGTTTGGCGATGGAAGTACTTTGGCATTGGAGTGCGCCGTGGCAAATCAAACACAACTTGAAAGTGAGTTTTTGTGAATAATTCGGTTTAACTTTGCTGGGTGATTTTTTAAGCGTGCCAATTTTCCCCTTTGATAACTCATTTATTTTATTGAAATTCTGATTTATAGAAGTTATAATAGTGTACCTAGAAACAGTATTTTAAAATTCTTGACATATTTTGTGCCGCTTAAGGAGTGTCCTGATGTGATACAAACATCTATTTTAATACATACCTATATTCTAATTGAATGAGGAACTCTCTTTTTTACTGAAAGTTATTTAGTGGATTATGGTCTTGAAAATGTTGATGTATTTTAATCAAAATGATAATGCATAGATACTTATCCTGAATTATTAAAATGTTTATACTAAAAATAATAATCATTACAAATTATTTATTTTAATGGATCATTAGTAATTACTAATTACTAACATTTTAAAATCGTTTAAGCCCTCATATTATTATCTGCTGAACCCATTACCATGGACAATAATATGTCAATATGTAGTGTTTTTTTTTTTGCAATCTTTGAATGTTAAATCTTGTAGGTACTGTAAACACAATTTCTAATAAATAAATAAAATTATCATCAATTAAAAATGAAAAAAGGGATTCCTAAATTTAAAAAACAGAAATGTGTATTCTCACAGAATTAACAGTTAGTGGTACGAAATTTTCGATTATTCGAAAATGAGGTTTTAACGCTTATTGAAATATTATTAAAAAAATTAAAATTTGAATATACCTATGCATAATAATTTATGCATAAAAATAGGGCGAGAATACTTAAAAAAATCACTCTGACTCTGTACATGGTGGAACCTATATATAGGTATATAATATCCCAACTGTATTTGTAGGGGAGGCCAGATTCCTAGGTACGTTTGTAACATAATGCGTGATAATATTATATATACGATAATATACTAAAATATATTTTACTTTTGTTTAACGTGACTAAATTTATAATCATGCACCACACTACCACAGTATTTATGTTTGATTAGTAATTACCTGCGTATATAGGTATATTGTTAGACAAACAAATATTATTGGTAAGGTTTTAAACTTTCATGAAATTTATTTTCTTGAAATATTTCATTATGATGAAAAATAAAAATTAAATGTTTATTCAACTTCTAAGTGAAAATTTTTGAAAGTTGGTTTATTGTATGAAACAAAGAAAATATGTAACATATTTACATATAATTTATAAGTTGTTTAACAAATCTATAATACTTATAACAAATTATATATAATATAATCTAAGTATTAAATAATGAGCCCAGAGCACCTTCTCATCACTCAGCCACATACACTCACATATTAATATAATATACCTCCGTCCTACGACTTTTGTACACTCATCTATAATTACTGAAAATACACTATTATTTTATTCACTGTTGGAATTGACTTCAATTTTATTTCAAACCATACCTAATCTTTTGGATCGCTGACGGTCCGCATACAACAATTATATTTTGAAACTCATGTAAAAAAAAGAAAGCTGATGTAGGTACCTATAATGATTAATGATATTATTATCGTCATGGTCTTAAATGTTATTTTAGTACCTACAATCATTATGTATTATTTATAACCTATTACTTAGCAGGGGCCGTTTTCGCTATCTATACGCAAATAGAGAAAAAAATACGAAGAATTAAAACTAATAATTCAACTGAACGAGCTAAAATATGAGTGATACAAGTGGCTATCCAAATAAGTATTATGAACGTCAGCTTATGAACATCAATTATATAGTAGCTAGGTATTCACTGAATTTGAACGAGAACCATATATTATAGTCGAAGCACATAAAATTCCATTTAACTTTTGTCAATTTTCAATATTTTATACTTTTCCGAAAGTCACTGAAGGCTCGAAACACGTGCAATCGTTATTTCCAATATATTTCTTCGATGAATATTTTATTGTTAATACTTAAAAGACTTAATATTATACAAAAAAACATAAATAAACAAGTCATTCAAATATCAAAAAGGTGGGCAAGTGGGTGTCGCTCTGCTGTACAGTAGGTTACAAGTGGGTCACTTATACTTGGTAATAAATCATATTCTGACTGACCGTTTTCGCGCAAAATTGTTTTTCTTATACAATAATGTTATATCATTGAATTAAAATTTAACACCATACATTACTATATATTTGATGATATTATTGTGATATTATTTATTAAGTAATTTATATATTTACCTATCTTTTTTTTTAAATTTTCAATCCTTAGCTATATTAAAGTTGTACATTTTATACATTTTTAACTAAAAATCATTATTAAATTTTAAATGTGATACATTTTATAAAAATTCAAATTTTAAATGCTTATAAAAAAAAATTGTGCATATGTATTTTTAATATTTTTCAACTGCTATTGTAACAATATATCAGGAGCCTTGAATTAAATTTTCACGCTTCTTTAACCAACAAATAAAAATGTATTGATATTTATAGAAAAACAAACTAAAAAAAGGTGCTCTGCTGTACAGTAGGTTACAAGTGGGTCACTGTATAATGGATAGTATTAAATATGACTTCAAGGATATAATATCATTGTTTAAGAAAAACGATTGTGAGCGGTCGAGCGGAGATGGTATGTCAGTCTAGGTATAAGACATATTATATACTTATCCATCGTATTAAAAAAAATTTACCTAAAATATGTACCTATAATAAATTCCAAATTAATCATATCACAATATCCATTAGGTACTTATAACTCGTTACACACCAACAACAAACCCTGATACTATCATAATAGATATATAATAGTGTACTTTAGAAGTATCAAGTACCCACAAATAAAATTACACAATCACAACAAAATAACTAAAATAGTTATTCTAGGTTTTTTTTATGTAATTTTGTCCAAAATTGAACTTAAAATGACTATAAAAATAAACTGCGCTTATGTATTTTTTGGTAACAGAACTAACTACTTACGTGGAATCTTGTTTTAAATTTTCAATCCTTAGATATAAAAGTTGAACATTTTCTACATTTTTAACTACAAAATAATTATTCAATTTTCAATTTGATACATTTTGTCAAAATTCGATCTTTAAATGCTTATAAAAAAATTGTGCTTATGTATTTTTAATATTTTTCAACTGATATTGTAACAATATATCAGGAGCCTTGTATTAAAGTTTTACACTTTTTAGCCCAATAGATAAAACTTTATTGATATTTATAGAATAAAAAACTAAAAAAATTGGAAACTGAAAATGTCCGTTAACAGCTCAAAAAGAGTCAAAATATTTTCAAAATTGTATGCTGTATAAGAAGTGCTAATATAAATATTCAGTGAAATTTTCATGCATCTACAGTTATTCGTTTTTGAATTACAACAAAATAAGGAAATTGCTCCATGAGAAATCGAGTGAATATCCTATGTTGTAAAAATTTTAATTTCAAACGCTCATAAAAATTTAATATGACTTTCTTATAGACATTTTTTTTTTGATAAAGGTAGATAATCTTATAAGGAATCTTGTATTACATTTTAAAACCTTAGATTTAAAAAGAAAATTTTTTATGAATTCTTAACTCAAAATAATTTGCTAATTTTCGTGATGTTTCCATATTTTGTCAATTTTTGAACTTTAAATGCTTATGAATAAAAACTCTGACTAAGGATTTTTAATATTTTTCAAATGTCTTTGTAACAATATAGTAGGAGCCTTGTATTAAATTTTTAAGCTTTTTTACCCAACAAATAAAGTTTTATTGACATTCATATTAAAAAAAGACTAATAAAATTATTAGCAGCATATTGGTAGGTATTAAACAATAAATATTATACTTGATATTCGTATTTAGGTTAGTGTAAACAAAAATGTTTTTAATCTTTTAATTTTTTGTTGAAATTATATGTTTTCCTTTATATTGATGAAATGTTTTAAATCATTGACCTAACATAGCAGTTGGCTCTAAATTATAATAATACAATATTTTTTGTATCAACTTACTTATCATAATCCCAAGTAAATATATTACATAATGATTGCTCTGGTGTCGTACATGCAATGAATAAAAATGTAGAAACATAAAATAAAATGCAAGTGAAAAAAAGCATAAATAATACATTTATCGGGCAAAATACTTTTTTTTGTTCTTATTTTGCTATTGTTATTATTATTTTTTAAAACGATTAAGGATTTAAGGTTTTCTTACCAGTGACCCCGAAAGTGTGATTTAACCAGACGCGTAAATAGCCTCTAATGATATTTTTTGGGAATGGCGTATCTGAAATTGAACTTAAAGATTTTATTTATAACACTTAATTGGATTCCTGAGAATATTCAAAGAACTGAGAGAACTCTAATACCTATCAACAATATGTAAAAAAGAGATTAAAAAAAAAAATCCAGTTATCCCGCTCGGTAAATTATTTGCACTTAGGCTTAAATATATGGTAAGGTACCTATATAATTTATAAACAATAGTACAATATACAAATTTTCTATACGTGCTCTCAAGAACTAATTATTAATTCACAATTTTCCTTCCCAATTATACTGCAGGCTTATTGGGACTGATGACGAAATAATTACCATTTTTGTCTTGTTTAAAAATGATTTTTTTTTCAAATGCTTTTCTCTAAACATTGTTTAGCGATAATATATAAATACGAACTAGTGAGTACTAAATAATCAATATTTTTTTTTTGTTCATGTAAAAATAAAACATGTGAATAGGTACCATACTATAATATATTGTTTATAGTAATTTAGAACAAAAATATAATAGTAATAACTAATAAGTGAATTATGTTACAAGGTATATACTATATTCATATTTCTTACATACATGCTAATTAGATACCTATCTATGTATTTTAGTCTATATAATATTTGATTCTTGTCCGGAATCTTAGAATGATATATATGCTGTTAACGTTTGATATTGTACAAACGTTTTGGTAGGTGGGACAGTATGTGATTCATCGAACAGAGAGTACACAGAGGCATGTTTCGCACATAGCTTAAAACATACAAGGTTATTGCAATAGTACCCCCACTATATCATTCTATCACGTTAAGGAATTAAAATGGCAGTGTAAGGGAACGACGTAAACTGGCTATACCATGATATTATATGCATGATATGGACCGTACCCTTACGCTGCTCTTAAATTTTTGTTTATAACAATATGGGCCATGTGCAATAACCATGTATATTTAAACCATGATTCCGCACCTGGGTTCGGGTTCCCTACGTATTATAGATATTATGAATGTGTATCCATAGGCACCCGCAGATATTTTTCTAGGGGGGGGGGGGCAATGTTTGGATTTGAGGAGAAATATTTTAATTTTAATAGGTATTTTATAATAATAACCTTTTTTATTATACAATATATATTTTATTATGTTAAAACTTATTTTATTATAAGTATAGTTATAGGTAAAAGGTAAAGGTATTATTAATTCTCAAAAAGAAATTGTAATCGTTTCCCATCTCTTCCGAAACGATCAACAATTTCTTCATAAAATTTGTTCTTATTAATTAGGTATTTAGGTCAATTATGGTAGATTTATGTACATTCATCATACATAAAGCATTGAGTCTTTCGTTATTCATGGTAGAGCGTAACCAGGTTTTAACCCTCCGGAATGTGCTGAAAGATCGCTCAGCAGTACAGGTAGTTGCCGGGAAGCTAAGGCCAATGCAAATTGCCAAAAATACTGATGGGTAAAATATTTTCGATTCTTTCAGTATATCTAGTACATCATTTGATTTCGGAATATTTGAGCGATTGTAGAAAACATCCCAAATCATTGATTCAGCTGCAAAATTGTCTAGAAAAGACATTTTTGAAATTAATATATTTATAAAGACCTTAGGTTTAATAGTGTAATAAAAATTATTGTATTACCTTTTCTATGATACTTAACGCAGTAGACGTTTCACCAAAAGAAGTTGACTGATTTATTTATATTTGCCTAGTTTCGGTTTCATTTTCGTTTATTTTAGCATTGTCAGACTCTAGTTCTAATCGAGGTTTTTTAAAGTATCTTCTCAAATCCGAACAACTGTTAAATATTTTCGATGGATCGATAGATTTACAAAACACATCAACTAACAAATAACGACTGACTTATGATCATGATGATAAAATTTTTATGAAAAACTTCAGATAACTGTCAAAATTTTAATATTTTTGCAAATAAGGAGGCCATTGCTTGATTTTTATTTCCATTGAATCTTTTTAATTCTTGAATTACCTAAAAAAAAATATATATATATTTATATTATAATATTTGAATTATATTTAGTATACAACCTATGTATATTTTATAATATTATTTATTAAGGTAGGTAGTTGCAGCCATTCACACCTTTAGTTCACAGGCAAGTTTATAATAGTTAACCTCACATCATGGACAAATTTGACCATACGCTCTTGGTGTACTTCCCCACTTTGTGTATTTAGTATAATAATCTCATATCGATGAAGGTATATCTCCGCCCAGAAAAATGTATAATAAATGTAAACAATACAGATTTTAACACAATCAAGGGAGTGGTTTTTTAAGTTAGGTTGATTGTAAATGCCTGTCTGTAACATATTGTTTAGTAATATGGTAGGGGGAAAATATTTGGAGAGTTTAAAAAGGAGACCTTCATGCTGAACTCTGTTGAAAGCCTGAGAGATGTTTAAAAAGGCACCAGGTATCAACTACTCTATGAACTTAAATAATTTAAATAAATAATCTAACATAAATACTTTATGACAAATTTATCAATGTGATTACAGTTATAAGACTGTATATAAATCTTTGAATTGTTGTGGATATTTTTCTTAAGAATGTTAATTAAAGCACTCAATTTAATTTACCACTATAATAGTCGGGAACACAAAAAGTGGCCCCTTGACCCTGACCATCTTGTACCAAGTGGTGATTTTCTTATAGTCTTCACTGTTTATACACCTACTAGAATAGTATTTAGTTTTATAGATAATTCCAGGTATCATTACATTATTTTTATACCTACTACAATTAAATAAGAACATTATATAATATATTATGTTGATAAAAATGGTTTTTCTTTTTACTCGGCCAAATATCTTAAAAGTATACTACAGGATACTATTTTTTTTTTTTTAAATGTTTGTAAAGTATTTATAAATATCAAAAGTTGAAGTACAAACACACAATTTTCTACATAATGGAATAGTTTTTTTTTTAATTTTTAATTATATGGTTACAAGTTGATTTTATGAAACCAAATATAATATACTATATTATGCCTAGATCAGATAGTAGGATCTACAACTATAATATGCCAAAATAATATATAATTGTATTCTGTTAATTTTTGTAGGTAAGTTGTTGACAATGGTCAGTATACCACATCTTACCAACAAGCATCTAGACATAGAATTTATTTTATATTTTTTTTTCCATATTTAATTATAATTTACCTGCTCTCTAGAAAATCCCAAGTTGATAAGTTCTGTAATATCAGTTTCTTTAAATGATTGACTAGAATTACTGCTACTACCTAAAATAAACCAAAACAGATAAACTATAAAAAATTTGATTGAATAGAATAGCTTTCTTGGATAATAAAATTAAATATTTAACAGAATACATATTTACAATGTAGGAATCAATATAACTACTAAGTACTATCATATACATATAGAAATGAAGAAGGTATCTGGAAATATTAGGAAATTTGTAAATTGGACAAAGTAGGCATCTCTTCTCCTCTTATTTAATCAATTATAATATTTATATACTTTATTGTAAAAAAAGAAGGTTACGTTAATTTAAAAATAACTAAATGATTACCACTACTTTGATTCATTTTTTTGGTTCTTTGTCTTCATTTTTAGGGGTTTGTATATTGTCTATACATAAAAGGGTACTTCAAAAGAATAATATTGTAATAAGAAGAAGACATTTTTTTTCCTAATTGTATAGCTTTAGTTTTATTTTTCAAAAAAAAAAATCTTGTATTTTTTAAAATGCATAAAATGCAGTTTATTTTTTTTTAAGCCAGTTTTGGTCAAAAAACTTAATGGAAGGTCTTATTCTATTCACTAGAGTCTAATTTATTTCCTCATACGTCTAATCAATGGTATGGGGAAAATGAAAATAAATATAACTTTTGTAACCCAGTGCTTTTTTTTTAAGCTCATAATACCAAAAAGTATGTCAAAATTGTTTTAAGTCACCCCGATTTACGGTATATAATATTGTGATTTTGTCGGGCGACAGAGTTTCCTGAGAAGTTGACTCAAAAACTGCAATTTTGAATTACAACAAATGAGACTGAAATGTTAAGATTTATCTCTAAACTATTATTTATTTATACAAAATATAAACGGTAGATACCTGTATTTGTGGATTCTAATAATTCTGGCTGTTTAGAATTTATATTTACTGGAATAGCAATACTTTTTAAGAAACCACTTGGTAAAAGGTCTTCATCAGAAAAATGATCCTCACAGACTCTGTATGATGGTAGATGGATATCAATTCCACAAACTTTTAACCACAACTTCTTGCGATCTTTATTCTTAGGAAAGCTGAAATAAAATTAATAAATAATAAAACTACTTAGGTATATTTAGTTGTAATAGTTTTAGCTGTAATCTTTTAAATATTGGTAGTTAATAAAGAAAAAAAAAGTATTAAAACATATATTTAAAGAAAAATATTTTTATAAACCAAACTACGAAGGTATACATAAAAATTGGAACAAGTGCACTTTACCACCCCATGCAAATTTTTTAATTTGGAACTTATGTAGCTCATCGAGTTAAGAACGATGGTGCAATCAGAATTTGTCACTCTCACTTAGTTTCGAAGTTATGGCCTTCCAAAGTTTTCAATTTTACGTCTATACGCATGCGCGCAACACTACTCTATAATGACGAGCGGAGGACTATTTTTGTTATTTTTTTGTACTTACGTATTCTAACCTGTTTAAAACGATAGTGCAATAAAAACGAAAATATCTCCCGATTTTCTATGCAACACCTCCCCAAGTGGATCACAGGGTTAAGAAAATTGCATTTTTGTTGCACCGAATCACCAAGCGAGGTCACTCGCTCGCTCGGACAATTAAAAACGAAAATATCCCCCGATTTGCTATGCAACACCTCCCCAAGTGGGTCACAGGGTTAAGAAAATTGCATTTTTGTTGCACCGAATCACCGAGCGGGGTCACTCGCTCGCTCGGACAATTAAAAATATTCCTCTCCTGGAAGTAGAAATAGTCAATCTAGTTTAAATAAATTCTCGCATTATACCTATAGTAGGTACCTACCTCCCTGATAATAATCATTCAATTATAAATACGATTTTAAAATTATATTTTTTAAAGAAACTATATTTTAATACACAATTAAAATGTCATTACGTCAAGTGCTGCGTTCTAGTGAAGTTGACCTCTCTTAGTCCCGTGTTTGTTCACTCGTTTATTTTTTATTTAATAGTCTCACGAATAAGAAAAAAAAAATCGCAAAAGACGTGACACGTAGCGTTGCGCTCATGCGTAAAAAAACGCAAAATTGCTTACTTCCAAGGGCAAATAACTTCGAAACTAAGTGAGAGCGACAAATTCTGATTGCACCATCGTTCTTAACTCGATGAGTTACATAAGTTCCAAAAAAGAAAATCGAAAAATATGCATGGGGTGGTAAAGTGCACTTTAGCCTAAAAAATATAAGGAAACTATTATGTTAAAATATGATTATTTTACTTACCAATGAAATGATTTGTCACTTTTTTTATCGTAAGCATTGCAAATGACACACCTCCTAGGCATCTTGGTACAAACTTGAAAGCTGAAACTAAGTTAAACAATAAAAATATGGAAAACTCAAGAAAAACACTTGTTGAAACAGTTGAAAATTTCAAATCAGAACCAGAACTATTTTATTCTATGGATAACAGTACAATAATAAATTGTACTAACGAGCGTCTAGAGAGTTCTGTAGAGACAGCGCCTCTTATCAGCACTATTGTTATCAGTATCACACTATCAGGGCAGTTGCCTTATCACTTAATCGGTTGATTACATTTAAATATTATTAGCGCCATACTGCCATGAGTAATAACCCGAATATTATGTTATGTAATATTATATGTGAATAACTCGTGACAAATTGTTTTCGTTTATACGTAAAAGTTTCAATTTTACAATTTTATTAATCCTTTCATTTATATTACCCTGTGATTTTGTCGCATAATATGGTAAGTTCGTGTTGCCTATGGTTGCCAAAAGAGGTCTACATCTGAACAGTCCATACATTTTTTGGATCATCTTAGATGTAAACTTCATAAATTATCATGAAATCGTCTTTTTCTAATGGGAAATACTCAGTTCCTTGTGTTTTGTATAAAATAATAGGATTTAATGATTTATTAGGATTCTGAGCAAATTGCTTTACCTGAAGATCCACACTTATTCCATCAACATCATGTAGCTTGCACTTGTGAAGTAAACCAAATTTAGATAATATGGTTGCAGAACGGCCTATACTAAACAAGTAAACAACGCATTACACCGAGCTGGAATGTTATTGAAAAGTCACGTGACTAAAATTACGAGCCTGTCGCGCCATCGGTATTTGATAGAACTAATAATTATTGTACCACGTCTATATTATGCAGAATGCAGAATTGCAAACCACGGCCATGGCTATATAATATATTAAAATGCAGACTCGAATATATGGCATACTATATTATAATTTAAGTATATATCCAGTGGCGTACACAGAGGGGGCTAAAACGGGCTAAAACCCCCCATTGCCGTATAATTATTACTTAAAAAAAATATATTAATGAAGTTTTTAACTACAAATTAACTGTGGTTTTGTCAAAATGTCCTCACCTAAACGTCTTAAATTATTAGAATGGACAAAATAAAAATAAAATTGTAATTAATTGTCAAGCCTCCCCCCCCCTATTGAAAAATAGCCACTGTATATATCCATTGAATAAATATGATAAAATTTTTAATTTGACTTTTTTATAGACATTTTTTTTTTTGATAAAGGTAGATAATCTCATAAGGAATCTTGTATTACATTTTCACATCTTAGATTTAAAAAGAAAAATTTTTACGAATTCTTAACTCAAAATAATTTGCTAATTTTCGTGATTTTTCCATATTTTGTCAAGTTTTGAACTTTAAATGCTTATAAAAAAAAATTGTGACTAAGGATTTTTAATTTTTTTCATCTACCTTTGAAACAATATACTAGGAGCATTCTATTAAATTTTCAAGCTTTCGCAACCAACAAATACAATTTTATTGATATTTATAGAAAAAAAAACAAAAAAAAACTGAAACTGAAAATGTCCGTAACGAGCTCAAAATAAGTCAAAATATTTGGAAAATGTTATTTGTATAGAAAATGCAAATATAAACAACCAGTGGAAATTTCATGTATATACGTTCATTTGTTTTAAAGTTACACCAAAAACCAAAATCAATTTTTTGGAAAACCGATTTTGCGTAAAAATTCCCGTTTTTCCTTAATTGTTATGTTGTTTTTCCTGGCGCTTGTGAAAACAATTGTGAAATTTTTACTTTTGACCCCCCAAAGTACCAACTAGATTCACTTTCCTATCAGAAAAGATACCTTTGAAGAAAATCCAAGCACTTTTACTGTCCTAAAACGTGTTGACAGACGCAAAAGTAAAAAAAAAATAAAAAAATAAAAAAAAAGCACACATCATTGTAAAATCAATACATTCATCGTTTCACTCAGAATCTAAAAGCATAAATAATACAGCTGCACAAGAAGAATAAATTTATCGGGCTAAATACTTTTTTTTTGTTCTTATTTCGATATTGTTAATATTATTTTTAAAACGATTAAGCGAATTTAAGGTTTTCTTACCAGTGTCCCCAAAAGTGTGATTTAACCAGTGACGCGTAAATAGCCTCTGACGATATTTTTCAGGAATGGCATGCCTGAAATTGAACTTAAAGATTTCATTTATAACACTTAATTGGATTCCTGAGAACACTCAAAGAACTGAGAGAACTCTAATATACCTATCAACAATACGAAAAAAAAGAGATTAAAAAAAAATCCAGTTATCCCCGCTCGGTAATTTATTTACACTCAGAGAGGTAATATAGTACTAATAGATATAGACTGACTGCGTTGTATATATCTACCAACAACAGATTTATAAAATAAAAAAAACAATAAATATGTGCAGGGTCAGTAGGCACTCGTCTACTCCTCTTCAACAGTTAAATCCAGTACACCCTTAACTTTTTATTTTAATTGCACTTTTCATCAGCCGCTGTTTGCGCACTTTTTTCTTTTTTTGACCCGACTAATTACAACACGATTGCGCCCCGATCCTTTTTTATCCGATAAAATCATAATTGTGCACCGAATGAACGTATAAAAATTTAATATATTTAGTATAGGAACCTATATAATTTATAAACAATAGTACCTATTTATAAAATATACATATTTTCTATACGTGCGCTCAAGAACTAATTATTAATTCACAATTTGCCTTCTCAATTATACTGCAGGCTTATTGGGACTGATGAAGAAATAATTAGGTACCATTGTTGGCTTGGTTAGAAATTATTATTTTAGATTCTGAGTGAAACAATGAATGTATTGATTTTACAATGATGTGTGTTTTTTTTTTATTTTTTTTGTGTCTGTGTACACGATAAGTAGTCGAAATAATGCTTCGATTTTCGACTTCAGTATCTTGTTCGAGTGGAAAGTGAATATCGTTGGTGCATTGGGTAGGTCAAAATTCCCAGTACTTTTCAAAAGCGCCAAGACAAACAAAAGAAAAATTAAGGAAAAACGGCAATTTTTACTCAAAATCGATTTTTCAGAAAATTGAATTTGGTTTTTGGTGTAACTTTAAAACAAATGACCGTAGATACATGAATTTTTCACTGATTGTTTATATTTGAATTTTCTATACACGATAACATTTTCAAAATATTTTGATTTATTTTGAACTGTTTAGAGACATTTTCATTTTTCATTATTTTTTAGTTTTTTTTCTAGAAATATCAATAAAATTTTATTTGTTGGTTAAAAAAACTTGAAAATTTAATAGAATGCTCCTAGGATATTGTTTCAAAGGCAGATGTAAAATATTAAAAATCCTTAGTCACAGTTTTTTTTTATAAGCATTTAAAGTTCAAAAATTGACAAAATATGGAAAAATCACGAAAATTAGCAAATTATTTTGAGTTAAGAATGCGTAAAAATTTTTCTTTTTAAATCTAAGATTTGAAAATGTAATACAATATTACTCATAAGTTTATCTACCTTTATCAATAAAAAAATCTCTACCAGACAGTCAAATTAAATTTTTATGAGCGTTTGAAATTTAAATTTTTACAACATTGGATGTTCACTCGATTTCTCATGTAGCGATTTCCTTATTTTGTTGTTATTCATAAACGAATAACTAAAGATACATGCAAATTTCACTGAATGTTTATATTAGCATTTCCTATACACCATACAATTTTGAAAATATTTTGACTCTTTTTGAGCTGTTTACGGAAATTTTCATTTTTTAATTTTTTTAGTTTTTTTTCTATGAATATGTATAAAGTTTTATCTGTTGGGCCAAAAAGTGTAAAAATTTAATGCAAGGCTCCTGATCTATTTTTACAATATCAGTTGAAAAATATTAAAAATACATTGGCACAATTTTTTTTATAAGCATTTAACATCGAATTTTGATGTTGATGTTGATGTATAACGTGTTATAAGTACCTATGTGATACCTATTGTGATAATGTGATATGATTAATTTGGAATTTATTATAGGTCAATTTTTTTTTTAATACCATAGATATGTATATAATTTGTCTTAAACCTAGACTGACATACCGTCTTCGCTCAGAATCGTTTTTCTTATACAATGATATTGTATCATTGAATTCAAATTGAATGGCATCCATTATACAGTGACCCACTTGTAACCTACTGTACAGCAGAGCGACATCCACTTACCCACCTTTTTTCAAATGTTTTTCTCTAAACGTTATATAGCGATAGTATATAAATACACACAAGTGACTAGTGAGTACACGATAGTCAGTATTTTAGATTCTGAGTGGAATGATGAATGTTTTAATTTTACAATGATGTATGTTTTTTTTTTATTTTTGTGTCTGTCTGCACGATAAGTAGTCGAAATAATGCTTCAATTTTCAACTTTAGTATCTTGTTCGATTGGAAAATTAATATCGTTGGTGTATTAAAAAGCTTGAAAATTTAATAGAAGGTTCCTAGTATATTGTTTCAAAGGCAGATGATAAATATTAAAAATCCTTAGTCACAATTTTTTTTTATAAGCATTTAAAGTTAAAAAATTGACAAAATATGGAAAAATCACGAAAATTAGCAAATTATTTTGAGTTAAGAATTCGTAAAAATTTTTCTTTTTAAATCTAAGATTTGAAAATCTAATACAAGATTACTCATAAGATTGTCTACCTTTATCAATAAAAAAATCTCTACCGGAAAGTCAATTTAAATTTTTATGAGCGTTTGAAATTCAAATTTTTACAACATTGGATATTCACTCGATTTCTCATGTGGCAATTTCCTTTTTTTGTTGTAATTAAAAAACGAATTACTGTAAATACATGAAAATTTCACTGAATGTTTATATTAGCATTTCCTATACACCATACAATTTTGAAAATATTTTGAGCTGTTTACGGACATTTACAGCTTTCAATTTTTTTTTCTATAAATATCAATAAAGTTTTATCTGTTGGGCCAAAAAGTGTAAACATTT